AGCATGAGTCAAGTGCTTAGAACGTGCCTATGCATTACAGGGGCTGAGGTGGCAGGAGGGGCCAAACTCCCACAGTCAACAATTACCAATAATTACTAGTGTCCTGCCTTGGAAGGAAACTCTCACTGACTCACTGTGGGGGGCCCAAAAGCCCAGCCCCCAGCACAGGGAGGCTCAGGTTTCCAGCTACCCCCAGGATGCGCCACCTGGTGACTGAGGTGAACCCACCCACCTGAGTTTTCCCCTGAGTTTCCCAGCTCCCATGCACCAGGCCAAGCCTGAACCCCAGGCATTGTTCCGGATCCCTCCCTTTCCCTCATGGCCTCCCCCATCCGTCTCTGCTCCTGACTTCCAAAGGACTGTGGGACCGGCCCCTTTCTGGCCACCCTCACGACCATCCTCGCCTCCACCCTCTTCTCTGGCTGGGCGGCACCCAGGGTCCCGGCCTCCAGACTTGCCCCTCCAGCCCAGACTCCCCCTGGCAGCCACAGGATCTTTCTAAAGCCCACTGCCCCAGAGAGCAACCCTTTGGAGGCCCCTGCTGCCCCCAGGAAGAAGTCAGGGGCCTCCTCGGTTCACATCAGGCCCTACCTGATGCCCTCTCATACCTGCAGTCCCTCCTCTCTTGTGACCCCAAGTCTCGCTTGTACCCACGCTGTTCCCTGTACTTTCTGGCTCCAAGCCCGGACAGTGAGGCAAATAAGGAGAGACAGGAAAGGAGGAGGAAGGGCCACCTTATCTAACGGGTCCTTGGGTGCCCCCACACTGTGCCGCTTCCTGCACTTGTGAAATCATCCTCTGTGCAATTGTCTGCTCAAGGACATCTCTCTTGGGCTCTAACTCCCCTGGGGGTGGGGATGGCACAGGTTTCTCATCCTGTGGCTTCTGGGGGCCGACACAGGCCTGGCACAGAGCTAGAGCTGAGTGATAGCAGGACAACTCTGCCAAGTAGCCAACAAAGGTCCCCACCACATGGGCGGCCTAATGGCCTTCCTTAATCTCAGAGTATGCTGGGGGCACCCACAGAGAGGAAGGGCCACCCCCCCACCCGCCCTCCCCGCTCTACCTTCCGGAAGAAGTTGTAGAGCCTGGCCCGGAGGATGAAGACATCGGCATTGGTCGTGCCAAGCTTCACCTCCTTGGTGACAAGGGCGAGGCAGTCCTGATGCTGTTCGAGGGCCAGGAGACAGGCCATGCTGAGGAGAGAGGGCAAAGATGCTCTGCCTGCTGGGCGAGAGGGGCAGGAAGGGGCTGCAGGGAGAACACAGCCGCACGCCGGGCACTCACCATCGGTAACGGAAGCTGGCTTTCTCAGGCTGGAGCGCAGAGGCTTGCGAGAAGACTCTCAGGGCATCTGGGAAGGCACGTTGCTCAAATAGGCACTGGCCCTGGGGACACAGGGGGCAGTCCCTTCTGCTTGTGACTCTGGCCCAGCAGCACCCACTAGCTACAGGGGGCACCCACTGGGGCAGGAGGGGAGAGAGACAAGAGCCAGGGACACAGCCCTTTAGATCTGGGAGAAACTTTAGGGGACAGAGACATAGAGATGGAGAGAAGGTGACAGATGGAGAGAGATACAGAGCGAGGGAGAGACAGCAGAGACAGAATTACACAGTTGGCAAGACGGCAATACAGAAACAGGAACAGAAACAGAAAACCTTGGACTTTGTTGGTATTTTGTAGTTTGGCAATTTTATTTTGAATTGTAAATGGGGGAATGCTATTACCTTTTTAGTGCTTAGAGCCTCTAGATGGTAGGTTTGTGTGGTCCAGGACAGCAGCCACTCGCTTCATGTGGCTATACAAATTTTAATTAATTAAGTAAAATTTAAAAATCAGTTCCTCACTCACTATATTTCAGTTCCACGTGGCTAATGGCTACCAGATAGGACGGTGCAGAGTAGACCACTATCATCGCTGCAGAAAGTTCTACTGGGCAGTGCTGCAGAACTTTATCCAGCCCTGGTGGTAAACCATCTCTGGAGGTAGGAGAGGTCATGAGAGGCGCAGCAGGTACAGACTCAGACACGGGGACTAGAAGGTCCCTAGAGAGACAGAGCTGGTCCCAGGAGCAAGGAAACCCCCCCCCCCCCGCCTGGCTACAGCTGGAGGGAGAGCCAACTGGCTTAGGTGTGAGATGGCCACGGTGGGCGGGCCTGCAGCAGCCCAGGGCACCTGCAGGTAAAGGACCAAGGTAAGCCGCTCCAGGTACTTGGTGTTCTCCGGCTGGAAGGAGTAGGCCCTTCGCAGGTTCTGGGCAGCCGAGGAGAAGTCACAGAGTTGGATGTAGGCCTCGGCTCGTAAAGCGTAGAAGTCTACCTGAGGAAGAGGGGACCCAGGCTGCTGTCCCCTCTCCACCACCGTCTGCAGAGGCCTGATGCTCAAGGATCAGAAGGGACTTGGTGGCCCCGAGAGGAGGAGCCTGGCAGGCAGGACAGTGAGGGCAGAGTGTCAGCAACCACCTGCACCCACCCCCTCACCAGGTGGGAGTCCAGATGGAGGGCACGGGAAAACAAGAGGACGGCCATCTCCCAGTCCTCCTTCTCCAAGCACTGCAGGCCTTGGTGGTAGCTGGAGGGGCAGGGGGGCACAGGCAGAGGGGCTGGCCCCGACTTCGACCAACCCAGGGCATACAGCTGTGGCCGCGGGAGTGGGCTGGGAGGGGAGGGGGGACGTGGGTGGAGAGCCAGGGTGGGGCCGGTAGACAGAGACCCAGGGAGAGGAGCCTGGTATTCTTGGAGCTCATCCCAGCCAGCCGCCTTTCGTCTGCTGAGGCAGAAGAGCCCTCTTATACAGCTGAGGCCGCTGAAGCCCAGAGAGGGAGCGTAACTGACCCAAGGCTGTAGGGCACGCCACTCGCTGTGCAGGGTAGGAACCTGGGACCCTGGGACAAGGTAGTGACTCACTACTCCCTGACTTTGAGGGGCACTGTTAATCCCGTGACCTTCGGTTTTACATCATCCAAGTTCTGGAACACCTGGCTGCTCCCAAAGATGCGCTGTAGGGTTCCCTTTGGGACTGGAAACACCCATGGCTTTGGGATAGGCTTTGATGGAGCCGGGTCAAGCTCCACAGCATCCTAGAACCAAGGGACAGCAAGCTGGGGCCGGCCTCAGAGAGGACCCCCGCCCCTCTTACACACTCTCCTCAGCTGTTTTACAGGAGGGACGAGGGCTGGAAACGAGGCTGGCAGGAGGCACAATTGGGTTCTGGTGGCAGTCTCAGTCCCATTCCCCTTAGGGATGTTCCAACTCCTCTCTCTTCAGTCCTGCCTCTCTCCCTCTCCTACGGTCAAGGGTCAGGGGCCAGAGTTCTCACACTCACACTGCACTCTGCTCTCCTTCCGGTCCCCGGTCAGCTCCACCCCCAGTTCCCAAACTCCCAAAACTCTAACGTCTCCAGCTCAGGCCCTACCCCAAGCTGCAGGCCCAGGAGGTCCCGCAGCCCTTTGCATATCCTGTGGCACCCTCATGCCCAGCAGGGCAAATTCGAACACCTCACCTGGCTTCTGCCCCAGGCTTTCCCACCTTGGTGACTCCACCTTTTCAGCCAGTCACCTCTGTCCTATCAGTCCTCATGTTCTGTCTGTCCCACTTCCTAAAGATCTCTTAGATCCCTTCTCTTCTCTCATCCTCTCGTCTGGGCCAATGCCCTCTCTGCCCGGACGCCAGCTCCGGCCAACTCTCCGACCTCCCCAACCGCTCACACGTCTCAAGCCCTCGCTTCTCGGCACTGCGGCCAGGGCCTTTCCCGAATCGCACAACTTATCCTGCCTCTCCTGTACTTGAAACCTTTCCTGCGAACTAAGCCTCGGCCTCTTCTCTCCTGACCCTCTCCCGCACCTCTCTGGAGTTTGTCATGAATTCCCCTCCGAAGGGAGGACCTCTTGAGGTCCACTCCCACCGTTGCCAGGCACCATCTCCCGGACGCCCACAGGCTCCGCCCCCTCAGGCCACGCCTCCGGGATCCAAGGGTTGTCAGAGCCGAAAGGAGGTTAGCAAACTTATCAGCCGGGAAGGCTGAGGCTACGTCAGGGAGAGGACTTGCCAGGTTTCCGCAGCGTTGCAGGGCCACAGGAGCCAGAACAAGGCTCCCTCCTCCCAACCCGGAGGTCATAAAAGGGCTCCGTGAGTTCACAATAAACTCCACAGAAACACCGTGAGGCGGCGCCCCGGAACTAGCTGAGGTTCCAGTCAAGGCCACCGCCCCGCCACTTCCGCCCCTTAGAAGCCCCGCGGCCCGCGGCCCGCCCGGGATTGGACACTGCTGGGGACAGTTGGCCACCGCGATTGGGCGAGGGCTGATAACGTCAAGGGGCGGGGCCGAGAACGAGCATAGGGCTAGCATGCCGCCGCTCGGCCGCCTGAGAGCGACGCTGTGGCTGAGTCGGGCCATGAGCCTGGGCGTTTTGGAACCCCGGCCCCCGGGGAAGCGGTGGCTGGTGAGTAGAGTGGGGGGCGGCGGCCTAGGGGCTCCTGGGCCCTAACTAGCTCCTGTTCTGTCATTGTCTCCGGACAACATCCCCCAAATTCCTTGTCTCGGTCTTATCTAGAAAATGGGTCCACTATTCTGACGGACCCTAAACTTCTGGGAACTCTGCTCTGACCGCTCAGCTCGCGGGGCCCTCAGCCTTCTGGAGTGTCCGGGGTTTCTGGGCCCCCTTCTTCGCGCCCCTTCCCCACTCTACCCAGCCCTCCATTTTCCTTTCTCTGGCTTGGGTCCTAGGGGGCGCTGTGAGGGAGAGGGTGGCGAGAAATGTCGGGCCTCAGTTTCCCTGGTGCCGCCCGCAGGTGGCCGGCCTGGGGAACCCCGGACTGCCCGGCACGCGGCACAGCGTGGGCTTGGCGGTGCTGGGGCAGCTGGCGCAGCGGCTGGGTGTGGCGGACGGCTGGGCGCGCGACCGGCGCTGCGCCGCCGACCTCGCCCTGGCCGCGCTCGGGGACGCCCAGCTGGTCCTGCTTCGGCCGCGGCGCTTCATGAACGCCAACGGGCGCAGCGTGGCCCGGGCGGGTGAGTTGAGGGCTCCCGACGAGGCCGGCCGGGAGGGCGCCGGGGCTAGAGAAGGGGTTCTGGGCGGCGGCAGATCTGTTCACCTCCAGGTGCCTGTTGAGCTCCAGTTGCTGCATATGGCCTTCGGTACTTGTAGGAATCTCAGCTTCTTTGTAAGTGAAATGGGGTTAATTGCGGTCCCTCCTCATGAGAGCTGTGAATCGGGACCACCCCCCTGGGCTGATGGGCAGTAACCAGGGCCACTGTTGTCTGTGCCCAGCGGAGCTGTTGGGGCTGACTGCTGAGGAGGTCTACCTGGTGCACGATGAACTGGACAAGCCCCTGGGGAAACTGTCTCTGAAGCTTGGGGGAAGCTCCAGGTGAGGCCCTAAGCAGGTCAGGGTGGGCTAGGGAGGAGCCTCCCAGTTGGAGTAGGGTACCAGTGCCCATCCCAGTCTCGGCAGGAAATAAGGGTGCTCTGACCCTGGCCGGGGCTGGGAGGGGTGAAGGGTGCCAATCCAGGGAAGCGCTAATTGCCCCTTTCATATCCCTTTGAAGGGGCCACAACGGGGTCCGTTCCTGCATCACCTTTCTCAACTCCAATGTGAGTCTGCCCCTCTGTCCTGCGCTGGGTCTGGTGGGCCAAACAAGGGGCCCCCGACACTCCTTATCAAAGCTCTCTGGGCCCCTCTGACCCCCACAGGCAATGCCGAGGCTGCGGGTGGGCATCGGGCGCCCGACACACCCTGACACGGTGCAGGCCCACGTGCTAGGCTGTTTCTCCACTGCTGAACAGGAGCTGCTGCCTCCATTGCTGGAGCGAGCTACCGACCTGCTCCTCGACCACATCCGTGAGCGAAGCCAGGGCCCCCCGTCAGGCCTTGTCATCTGTGGACACGTGCCTGCCTGACCACCATGCCCACGCACCCAGCCACATTCACAGAGGTGTCATGACAACTTGTATCTACTTTTTATAGAACTCTTCTCTGGGCTGCCCCAAGCTGCCTGTGAATTAAAGAGGGGACTGTTGCCATGGTGGTCCACTTCTGGAATGGGGATTGGTCTTCTCTCTGTGTCTTACTTGGAAAGCAGAGAAACTTCAGGAAGACTAAACTTTTTGAACCTTTTTGGAGAACCAGAGGTGTGGATCTGTAAGATTAAAGATGCGCCTTGAAGCTGAGGCCTCCTCAGGGGATTCCCACCTTTCCCCTGCCAGTGGAGGAGGGGCCAACAGGGTCCAGCAAGCCCCCTTCCCAGGCGATGTGTGGACATGCCTTAGCCCACTGAGGCCTTGCCACACTTTTCCTTGGCCCATTTTACAGATGGAGAAATGCAGGCTTAGCGAGCTAGGCACAGCCCCCAGGCCTTACAGCTGCAGTGTGGCAGAGCAGGATCTGTACCTCGGGTTGGCTGCTGTCTTGCCGTCCCTGGGGCCCCTGGCACTCTCACCTCAGGGTAGCTGTGCAGTTGGAAGGTTCCCACACGGGTGGTGTGTGAGAGCAGCCTGAGGTCCTCAGGGTTGGGTGGGATGTGGGCCCTTCGAGGCACCAGGCCCAGGTCCCCTGGCTGGTAGGGTGTGTTGCTGGATAGCTGCTGGGGCAGAGACCCCATCCTGGGGGGCTGGGTGCTGGGCTGGCTGTGGAGAGGGCGCTGGCATCACCACCTCCGTTTCATAGTTAAGGAGGCTGAGGGTCAGAGAGGCTTTGGGGAGCCAGGTTTCTGGTGGCCTAGGGTCAGCCGAGAAGAGCCCTTGGACAAGTTCCCACAGCTGCCTCCTCTGAAGTCATACCAGGTCACTCACTTACCTCTCCTTGGGTGGGCCATGGGGCTGGCTCTTACGACGGGGACACACAGCCAGCTGGGGGCTAAGGACCAGGGCCGAGCTGAGCATGGTCAGCAGCTGCTGCAGCATCTCCTTGAGCTGTAGCTGGAACACTACATCAAAGTCGCCACCCTCCTCATCGGATTGCATCTGCCGGTGGGGGTGGGCCCATGGGGATCAGGCCCAGAGTGGCCCCAACACCCACCTCTGGGAAACTCCAATCCCAGTGCCCGTTTTCTCCAAGTGCACCCTGGCTGTGATGGGATACCCATTCTCCAACTGGGAAGCCTGAGACATGAGGTCTTCCAGGGCCTCAGAGAGGGACTCCGGCAACTTTGAGACCTTCAAGGGATCTTTGGAGGGCTGGATCAGGAAAGGACAGACTTGCCAGGAGTCTCTCAGAGGAAAGGTGGGGCCTCTGGCCCTGGCCCAGCCCCTCCCGGTGTCTCCAAGCAGTGTCTGACATTGGCCCACTCCCCCCGCCCCTGACTTATACCCACTTCCTGTCACCTGTAGAATGTCCTGTAGGAAGAAGGTGGCTTGGGCCAGGGCTGTCTCCAGACTTGCCCGAACCTTCTGCTCTTCGGTCAGCTCCCGCTGTAGCCTTTCTGCCTTAGCCTGCTGCCTCTCCAGCTGCAGGTTCAGCTGGTCTCTCTGACTTCTGGACCCAGGACCGGGATGAGTCAGCCCCCCTCCCCGTGCTAGGCGGTGTGTCTCTAGCCCACAGGGGCCCTCATCCAGCCCCAGGCTTTAGCCTCTTTGGCAGACAAAGCCTCAAGACCCCTAGAGAAAGGGGAAGCCACTGGCCTATGTCATGTCATGTGGCCCAAAAGAGAGGGGCTCAACCCCTCTCCCCCCTGCTCTTGCCGCCACTGCTCGCCCCTCTCTGGGCCCCCACCTCAGTGCCTGGTGGTCGTGCTGCAGCTGCCCGTGGCTCTGCTCCAGTTGGCTCAGCCGGAGGCACAGCCGCTCGGCCTCCGCCCTGCCCTGCTGCTGCTCGCGGCACTTCTCGGTCAGCATGAGGATGACCTGCGGGTGCAGGCAGGTGGCCATGCCCTGGGCCCACCGCGGGCACTCAGCCAGCCCCGCTCCCCCAGCTCTGGACTCAACCAGAGCTCACCCCGTTGTACAGAGAAGCCAGCCAAGGTACTGGCGGCCCAGCACCGTGTCTGGTCAGAGCCCCCCGTTGCCCGGGGGTGGGTTCCGCTTCAGTGAGTTATAGGGGCTTTAGACCAAATAAAGAAAAACCAGAGGTGCACCCAGCACCCAGGAGCCCCCACAAAGGGCTCTGTCCCCTCACTGCTGCCTCCCTCGTGACTTGGCTCCAGCCTGGGATCCGACCCTGCCAGGCTGTGTTTGCCCTGAAGCGGCACCCCTAGGGGTCCCTCCTGCTCTATGTGCCAAATGCCCCGTGACGAGGGCTTGGCGGGCACACCTTATGGTGGCCTCTGCTATGCCTGGCCATGACCTTCTGGGTGTTCTCCAACAGATCTAGCTGTTTGCACAGCTTGTCCTGGGTGCCCTTGAGCTGCTCATTCTCCTGCAGCAGCTGCATGCCTTGCCGGGATATCTTCGACAGCTGCAGGGTGACCGTATTGTTCTCCATGATGGCGCGCTTTGTCGTGTCCCACATCTGGTTAGTGGCCACCTTGCGGAACTCGGTGGCCACCAAGTTCACACGCTGGATGATCTCCTTCCTCAGTCTAGTCAGTATGGGTGGGAAGGAGGGGGCATCAGGCAGAGTGGGCACAGGCACCGCCCTCCCATGTGGGGTTCCCCAGAGGGCTGAGGGCCACCACTATACTCTATCTCCCAGGAGGAGCGGGGGTTCAGGCAAGAGGCTTTTCACGGCAGACCCTTTGTACCTCTGGCATTTTGAACCATAGCAATATGTATTATTGTTACCATTAAGTAAATAGAATTTTTAAGTCACAAAAGGTGGCAAAAGGAAGTCCCAAGGATTCAGTAATGCTGGTGTAAGGGCTAGAGCTGGGAGCTTATCTGTTTTCTCCTACTCTCTACAAATCACCAGCCAGGCTGGGGAGTCCCTGAGCTAATGCAATCCCCCCAATTAGAAGTGGAGGCTGTTGGAGGCTTGAGGACTGAACTGTGCTTCACCCCAGCACCCAAACTGCCCACCTGTCCTTGTCCAGCACGGACTTCTTCTCTAGGTTATATACGTAATCCTTGTATTCACCCTCCTGCTTCCGTAGCTGGTCCTCCAGCGACACGAACTTCTCTGTGAGCTCCTCTTTCTGCAACCGGAACTCTTCCAGAGCTGCCAGCTTCCCCCCTGCCCCACCGCAGGGCACAGCCTGGTGAGGGGCCACCTCGGGAGGGCAGCAATGGCCTTGAACATGCGCCTCCCTCCCCACTTCCTCCACGTCCTCTTGCCCTCCCTATGCTTCCCAGTCCAGTGGGGCCAGACCCTTGTCCCTACAACATGCCATGCCCAGTCCTACCCACGTTCATGGTCTTCATCTGGAACACGCCCCCCCCCCCCCCCCCCGCCACTAATCTTACGAAGCCTCATTCAGTTTCTACCTCCTTGGGAAAACCTTCCTTCACTTTTGTTTTCTGGAAAGTGACAGTGACAACAGCCACTGAACTCGAACACCTTCTCTGGGCCAGGCACTAATGCTGTCCTTAACCCTCAAAACAATGCTTGCCAGCTAGGTGACCTTGGCCAAGACACTTCATCTTCTTGAGGGGCTTCCTCACCTACAAACTGGGTGATAGTATTTCCTGCCTTGGGCGATGACTGGGACAATTAGAGAAGATAATGTGTGGGAAGAAGCAGCACATAGCTGCTGTTACCCAATGTAGACGTATTATACCCATTTCCCAGATAAGAAAACTGAAGGTCAAAGAGAAGTGCTTGCCCAAGGCCAGAAAGTCAATGGCAGAGCTGGGATTAGAGCCCCAAGAGCAAGAGCATAGGGTTCCCTCTCCCGTGTGTGTGCCCCCAGATGCACCTGCCAGTCCCCACCCCCCTCACCAAGGGTGATGTTCTCCGTGGTGAGCTGGTCCTTGGTCTCCTGGAACTCGTGGCGCACCTGGGCTAGCTGTGCCTCAAAGGCGTCCTTCTCCATCTCCTTGGCTAGCTGCAGGCTTTGGAGCTGCTCACTGAGGTCCGTGATCTCATCCACGCGCTGGTTGAGCGTGCGCTTGAGGAAGGCCACTATCTCCTTCTTGTTGTTGGCCAGCTGCTCAAACTCCTGGCGGAACAGCTTCTCCTGAACGGCCAGCTCATCCCACTTCCGCTGGTACCTGGTGTGGGGGTGGGGCAGAGGTCCAGGGGAGTGGGCAAGCCAGGCCTCCACGCAGCTAGGCTCGTTCCCCTGGACCCTCCCATAGAAGGGCATTCGGGGTTCCTCACATGGGAATCCGGCCTCATCTCCCACTGTGCGCCCTGATCTGCACTGACGACCACAGCCAACACCTGTGCTCAGTGCTTTACATCCATTACCTCACCAGAATGTAAGCTCCATCAGACCAGAGCCTTTGGTATAGTCACAGCTATGTCCCCAACACCTAGGATAGTGTCTGGTATATACTAGGTACATGGTGTGTGTATGTTGAATCCATGAGGGAGTGGGTACTGTGATAATTACACCCACTTTACAGATGAGGAAATGTAGGCTCAGAGAGATGAAGAAACTCCTAGTTAGTAAGTGGCGAAATCCGATTTTGAACCCCAGTCAGTCCGTCTGACCCCAAATTTGAGGCTCTTAACCACAGTGTTTACTGCTGCGGTTGGCCAGCTCTGCACCCCGCCCCGCCCAACATGTCCATGCTTTGCAATCCCATACCTTTGAACCTGCTGTCTTCCTTACCCTGGTTCACTGAGTGAATCCTGGTGAGCCTCCTCAGTGGAGCCTTCTTGGACCTGAGCCACATTTCTGATGCTCTTTTTGGTGCCCTCCTGTAAGTGGCCCCTTGTTCCAATGGGCAGTCAAGACCTGATGTCATCTCTGTCTTCACTTGACAGACCCCTGACCTCCTCCACCTCTGTACTGGGGCCTGACAGAGGGGCTCAGCAAACAGTAAGCACCTAATAACTGTCTTCCAAATGCATTATCCCCAAATACATTCCATCTGGTGTCTCAGCTTGAGGGAAACTTGTGAATTTTTAAGGGTATCATATAATTGATTTACTGGTTTCCAGTGGAATAATTTTTAGAAGTTCTTTGGAAAGATGTTTTACTTCATTATTTACTCAACCAACATCTTTTGAAGGGCTACTGCATACAAGGCATTGGGTGGTACCGAGCTGAATGACCTGCTTTGTGGAGTGAGGAAGCAGCTTGGTGTAGGGAGGTCAGAAGGCCCAGGGCTCCCATCCTGGCACCTCCTGGGAGAGACTTCCCTCCCTGAGTCTCAGTCCCCCCACCTGTACAATGGGGATGATGTCAGGATCTCTCATGGGACTGTTTCAAGGATGCAGTGAGCACCAGCACAGGACCCACCTGGCGCATATGAAGGACTCAACATTGGCTGTGAGTATCTGCAACATCATCTGGGGAAGAACAGCTGCCTAGTGGTCACTAAAGGGGTTGTCTTTTAAGGGTCACCATGAGACTAGGCTGGTGCATCATATCTGGGAGGAAACTAGCTTTAAAATAAGAAAAATGGGCAAGTGTGCTTGTCTCAGAAGTTAGAGACCCTGGGCGCCTGGGTGGCTCAGTTGGTTAAGCGACTGCCTTCGGCTCAGGTCATGATCCTGGAGTCCCGGGATCGAGTCCCACATCGGGCTCCCTGCTCAGCGGGGAGCCTGCTTCTCCCTCTGACCCTCTTCCCTCTCGTGCTCTCTATCTCTCATTCTCTCTCTCTCAAATAAATAAATAAATAAAATCTTAAAAAAAAAAAGTTAGAGACCCCTCCCACACACACACACTACCATCTATCCACACAGTCACGGGGAGACAACCCTCCTCCTTCACATTTGGGGAGATGGGCCCAGCGTGGAAAAATACCTGGGCTTGGCAGGTGGGTAAGTCAGTGGGGCACGTAGCACAGGGAGTCAGCACAGGCACCGTGGGAGTGGGAGGGGTGGTGGAAGAAAGGACACAGGATCCACCCACCTGCCAGGGGGCTGCCATTTTCAATTCATCCCACTGACTGAACTCTGTCCTTTTATAAAGCACATAATCCCATGGGGCACGAGTGAGGCAGGGGGCAGCGGTATTTGCCTGGGGTAGGGTAGCCAGTTAGCGTTAGGACCCCAGGACTGTGGGAGCCGGGATAGGGTGGGGTCAAATTTTGAAGCCTCTCAATGTTACTTAGGAGAAAACAGGCTGGGGGTGGGGTCTAGACATCCCATGGGAAGCCAAATACAGGCCTAGGACCTCCCGAGTGAGCCTGCTCCTTGGTCAGCTATGAGCAGGGCTTCTGACCCAGCAGGACCAGCCTCCCTGACCCTCCACCCACCGGGCCAGCCTGTCCTCCAGGTCTCGGATCTGGATGTGGTAGAATTCTCGGATCTCCTCGCCTAAAGTTTCCATGGGCTTGTTGGCCGTGCTGGCATCCTTCTTGCCACCTTTCTTCTTCTTGACCTCGGGCTCCTTGGCCCCCTGGGTTGCCTTCTTTTTGGGAGCCATGGCTGGTGGCAACCACTGCTCCAGGGCCCCTTTAAGAAGCCAGGTGGTTGCTAAGGAAGTTGGTCCCATACATAGCAACAAACTGAGGGAGTGAGGCCCAGCTTAAAGGGATCCTGCCCTCTTCCTGGCCAGCCTGGGCACTAGCAACCGGCCTTCCCCTCCAAGGCCAAGCACCACAGACACCCTGGGCTGGGGTGTCCCAGGCCATGGCATCTCAAAGATCGGGATGCCAGGCTCTTGGGGCACTTTTTTGGGCTCTGGGGAGACCTCGCCATCCCCCAGGTGGAAATGTTACAATGGGTGAGCCCTAGAAACCACCACCCTGACAATCTGAGAAGGGGGACTTTCCCAGAGCCCCCCAGAACCAGAAGAAGCCAGTCCCCAGGCCAATGAGCCTCTCCCCTGAGCCCTCTGAGACCAGCTTGTTAATTCTTTGGTGATATAGCTACAGAGCAAATCATTTTCTCACTTCACCCAAAGCACGGTGGGGAGGCAGCGTGCTAAGAGATGCTCTATATCAAAGGCTCCTAAGCTGGAGTCCCAGGACGTCCCTGTCCAGAGACGGGGTCCATTTTCCACAAGGCTTGGTGGAAGTGCTCCAACTGCCCCATGCTGACCCAGGCAAACAAAGGCCCACTGTAGGCTTTGGCCTGGGATGGCAGCATCCTGGGGGGCTGGGGGGGGTAGGTGGTAGGTGTCCAGCTGGCAGATGCCCTGGCTTGCAGCTGTGAGCCCCACCTAGGCACCGGCCCCACCAGGATCCATCTCCCGTCCCTCGTCTCCAGCCAGCTATGCCTGTATACCTGCTGTCCACCCAGTACTTATAAGAGCCCAGGCACTCCCTGGGACAGTGGCCAGGTGCTTTTCATCCCCATAGTCCTAGGGCTCAGCACGTAGCAAGAGATGGCTGCAGCTCTCCCCTGAAAGGCTGATGGCTGGACAAGGGGAAGCTCAGTATTACTTCACCATCTGGGGTTGTGAACAGTGGGATCCTTGCGATGGATGCAGGGGAACAGGGAGGGGCCCAAAACACAGGCCCGTGGGTGTTTACTCTTGGCAGTGAGGCAGGTTAAAGCAGTGGTTAGTTAAGAGTGGGCTCAAGTTTAGCCAGTCTCTTCAATCCAGTGTGACCTTGGGCCAGCAGCCTGACCTCTCTGAGCTATGAAATGGGGAGACCATGCTGTGGACTGAGTGTGACCTTGTATGTAAAGTGCACAGTGCAGGGATACGGTCCAGGGGTGCAGGAAGTGCTTAGTACGTGGCAGCCAATGTTGCCATTAGCAGAGCAGGGAGGTGAGGCTCCAGCCTGTTCCGTGTTAGGCAGCCTCTGGGATTTCCAGCATCCTAGTACCCTCAGGCTGTGGCGGTCTGTTTTGCCTAGGGTGTCTGTTCCCTGCAGCCCGAGGCAGCTCTGGGAGGGCAGAAACGACTGGCAGAGGGGAGAGGCCCTCACAATTGCACACAGGCATCAGCCTTTGCACAGACACAACCATGCAGGGAGCGCCGCCTGCCCGAACTGCAGACAGGGCGACAATAAGGCTCCAGAGAGAGAGAGACGCCTGGCCTAGTGCCTGAGACTCAGGGCCAGCACAGGGCTGCCCCCCCCCAGCCCAAGGCAATGTCCCCTACTCCCGCTGGACGCTGCTCCCTCCCCAACCCCCAGTGGGGGCAGGAGCCCAGCCCCAGCAAAGGATCACCACGGTGTCCCCCAGCTGCCCTTCTCCCTCCTTTACCTGAGGCCCATCTCAGGGGGGAGCTCTGAATCCCCAGCCTCATGGGAGAGCATGGCCAGCAGCCCCTCAGCGTGCCTGGAGCCCACAGAAAGGGTCAGCTCTGGGGCCTGTACTTTCTCCTTTGTTAGCACCTGGGGGGCAGGGCCAGGCTTATAAATGCAGCTGCAGTCCCACGGCAAGAGTGACCCGCTGGACTTCCAGGTGCTGGGGTGGGGAAGGAGAGAGCTGCAGGTCAGAGGATATCCCTTTCTGAGGTTTGCTTGAAGATCCTCTCCAAAGCTCCCCTATTCTAGGGCCAGAGGCCATCACCTACCCCGGGGACACCTTTTCATGGCCGTTTGTGAACTGCCTTCTGTGTCCTGCTTCAGGGGTGGGTAGTGCTGAGCCTGGAGCTGCCAGACCACGAAGTCCAGCAGCTGGGAGTTGTGATAGTGTGCACAGCCTGGCAGACTGCAGCATCGGCCCCAGGCAGAGGCCGCAGGGCTGGGGCACTGCCACCTCTGGGAGACTGGGGAAGGCAGGAAGCCTAGGCCCAAGGGAGACAGGGAGGCTAGGCGTCATTCAACATGCCTGAAGCCTTGCCCACCTCTATGGGGTCACGGCATGACAGAGATCCGTTCATTCTGGGTGTGAGATATAATATTACCCCCCTCACTAGCGTGAGCACATGAAGACCGGATCTGTCTGGTTTGTGGCTGCATCCCCAGAGCCTAGGATGAAAGGTGGCACAGAGTAAGCTTCTGCTGACTAAGACTGCATGGGGAGGGAATTCTGGAATGGGAGAGTAAGGAACTCGATGGACCCTCTCCCCAGCAAAACAACAATTTAATTCATGAAGATTATTTTTAAAAAATTTTTATTGTTTTATTTTATTTTCAAGATTATTTATTAGAGAGAGAGAGAGCACGAGTGCATGAACAGGGGGGAGGAGTACAGGGAGAGGGAGAAGCAGGGAGCCCGACTCAACTCGGGGCTCAATCCCAGGGCCCCGAGATCAGGAAACGAGCCAAAGGCAGATGCCCAACCAACTGAGCTACCCAGGTGCCCCAAGATTATTGTTACTATTATTTTAAGATTTTATTTATTTATTTGAGAGAGAGAGAGAGAGAGAGAGCAGGAGCAGAGGGGAGGGGGGAGGGGAAAGGGGCAGAGGGAGAGGGAGAAGCAGACTCCCTGCTGAGCAGGGAGCCCCAGTTGGGGGCTCGATCCCAGCACCCTGGGATCATGACCCCAGCTGAAGGCAGACGCTTAACCAACTGAACCACCCAGGCGCCCCACGATTATTATATTTTTTAAAGAATCATTTAAAGCGTCTATTAATTGTTTTAAAAGCATACAGTAAATGGAGAAACATTCATTCAGGAAAATCTACTAAATCCCTGCAAGAATGAGTGTGGTATTTGAGCAGTGACCCACCCCCTTATCTGCTGAGGCTTAATAACAAATATATATTTGCTCTTTGCCCCTGGTTTTTGGCAGAGGACCTAAAACCCTCAGAACATCCTAAATGAGAGGAGTATCTTTTGTTATTCATAACAAGCCTCTTACGCAGTGCCTGAGTTTATGCTAATGAGGGTACTGTGGGTGGGAGACAGCTTCAGGATGAGGGCTAGTCACCAGAAAGACCAAGTGCATAATTAGAGGGTTAGAACTTTCTGCAGACCCCACCCCTGCGGGCCCCCCCACCCCCAACAGGGAGGAAAGAGGGGCTGGATATTGAGTTCAATCACCAGCGGTCAAGGATTGAATCAATTCTGCCTATGTAATGGAATCTCCATAAAAACTCCTAAACCACAGGGTTTGGGGAGCTTCTGGGTTGGTGAACCTATGAAGGTGCTGGGAGGGTGGTATGCCTGGAGGAGGCAGTGAAGTTCTGGGCCACCCCACCCCTTGCCCTGTGCATCTCTTAAATTTGGCTGTTCCTGAGTTGTATCCTTTATAATAAAACAGTAAGTAGAGTGCTTTTCTGAGTCTGTAAGTTGTTCTATGAATTATCAAACCTGAGGAGGGGGTCTTGGGAACTCTTGAACTTGTAGTCAGCTGGGCAGAAGTATGGGTAGCCTGGATACCGCATTGGTGGCTGGCATCTGAAGTGGGGGCAGTTTTGTGGGACTGAGCCCTTGACCTGTGGGGTCTGCACTGAATAGTGCTAGAGACGAACCATTGCACACCCAGTTGGTGTTGGAGACTTGAAGAGATAGTATTGAAAAGTGCCATTTGATGTCAGAAGAAAACATGTCCGCTTCCCATCCCCCATTCTGTGTTATAGACGTTTAAGCTGGGGTGCACTGTTCTGAGCAGGTGTGGCCAAGATGAAGGGGGCTCCCTTACCCTCCAGCTCCTAGTGTGGGGCCACAGCTCCATCCTGGAAGGGGCAGGCTGCTGGCCTTCCTCATCCTCCCCCTCCAGTCCTACGTTGCAGAATCTCTGTTCCAATCAGGTACAGCAGAGAGGACTTCCCACACAGGCCCACTGGCAAGGTGGAAGCTCGGTGGAAGGCGGCGGGCTGAGAATACTTGGCTCTTGACGGCCCCCACCTCAGGTAGCTCATAGGGTGGGGGTTCCACACCAGGGGGGCAAGCTCAGGAGACCAGGGCCTGCCACCCCGTAGTGCTCACTTGTAAAGCACCATCACTCCAGGAAAAGTAGGTCTGGCTCCCAGCTTGGGGGCAGTGGTTCATGGGTTCTGCTCTGGGGAAAGACAGGCTGTACGGACAAAGAGCTCCACAGTTCTGCCTGAGGGAGCTGGCTTTATTGGATCAGAGCTTTGAAAACTCCATGTGTAAGAGCATTGTCAAAACCAATGGAGATCTTGGTAGACAGCAATTAAGAGGACTGGCTTAAGCCAAGAACCATTTGTTGAGCTCCTGGTTCCTTGGGGTTCTTCTGGATAGGCCGGGCCTGTCTGATCCTGGCTGGGCCCATCCTATGCCTCTCAACGAGCTGGTCACTCGTGTGCCTGGTGTGGCTAGCTGTTTGCAGGGGCAATGGAGGGACTGCCTCCTGTCACCAAGCAGACTGGTCCGGCTTGCTAATATGGCAGTCAGAGAGTCAGTAAGGGTCTAAGAATAGGAGTGGTGACACCTGCTGAGGTCTAGGCTTGGGTGAGTCCAAGCCCATTCTGGCCACATTCCAGCAGTCAAAGCAGGTCACAGGCAGCCCAGATGAAAGGCAAGGAGATGCAAAGCATGGTGGCCACTTTCACAATCGACCCCAATCTTTGCTTTCAGCTTTGGAAAGAATTTCTTCAAGTTTCATTCTGTGATT